GACACTAATCCATTCATGAGGGCTCTACCCTCATAACCTAATCACCTCTTAAAGGTCCCCTATCTTGACACGGGCAATTCAACATGAGCTTTGGATGGGCCATTTAAACTACAACACATGTCTGTATCCCCAAAGGATCAAAAGTGACTTTCAGACCTTCTGGGACTTCTTAGAAACCAAGAATAATTGTTATTTAGAAAAGCCATGGGGTCCTCATTTAGATGTCCCATGGTCATCCTGACTGTAGATGATGGCTGCCCTCTTTGAACTAATGAGAGTTTGTGGATATTGAAAAGTTTCCTCTAGTTCTTTGAGGGAAAGAACGGCAAATACAGTTGGGTTGTCACAATGGTGGTCCAAATGTATGATGTAGGATGTCAGCAGATACCCGTGAGAGCCTGGTTGTGGGACAGCAAACCTTCTGTGGCTATAGCTGCCTCTGCCTCCCTGCAGGGCTCCTTCATTCTCTGGCCCCACTGACTCTACAACTGACCCTACAACTCACCCTCTCTCTTCTGGCAATGCCATGTCCCATCACCCAATGGAAGCTTAAGGACAGGGTTACTCTGTGCCCAGACTAAAATCAATTTGAAAGTCATTAGCCTATCCAAGTGGTGGAAATCACAATTATTGTTATTTAAAGTAATTCCCCTAAAAKACTGTTAGAATATTATCTATGATAACTCAATTAATTAGATAGCTAACTATTTAACACAGAAAAAGCATTTAACTAGTTAAGCTCCTAYGAGGTATAGAGGAGGGTAAAGAAAGGTAATTTAACTGGGGAAAGCACTGGAATCCAAATAGAGTAGCACATTGTTTAGGGGTAGYGGCAGCCAGGACCATCATAAGGGCAAAATATTTAATTTCTCTATGCTTCAGTGGCCTCATTTCAAATAAAGATAATAATAGCATCATTATATAAGATAATCTATGCAATAATTCATTTGGCATTATGCCTTGTYTATAAGAGCTGAAAAATATTAGCTAAGATATTATTGTTGAAGTTACATTAAAAAAATAATAATGATTAGGAGTAATAGGGTTAGGTTAAGTGGAGCCAAAATGCAATTAAATGAGAGGGTAGAGAATTGAGTAAGAAAGCAGGGGCAAGAGTGTTGATCCCAATCTTTAGCTATGTCATAACTCTGTCTGGAATTAGCTCAAAGAGAAACATTCTGGCAGAATGATTTTAGAGCCAAAGATACCTTGGCTCTGTCACTTGATAATAAAAATTATTTAGGGAAATTACTAAGTTTTTCAGAGACTTAGTGCCCTTATTTGTAAAAATGGGGATAATTACATCTTTATGAAGATTATACAAATAACACACAAGTGACATAGTTTATGTATCCGGTGCCCAGTAAACACACTCCCCTCCGTCACCTGGCCAAGGTCTTTCCCCTTCATACTGTGGTTGGCAGACTGCAAAATGAGAAGTCCATCTGGATAGGTGAGAAACACGAGGATCAGCATTGTGGACTCTTTATGCAGAGAAGAAAGAGGTCACCACCTTCCTTATACCCTCCTGCCACTGGAACAGCTCAGTGAACAAATGTACAGTAGGGCTGCTAAATATTAGAACTTGCACCCCTTAGATATGGCATGTAGTGGAATAATTCTAAATGGAAGCCATCCAGAAAACAAGGAGCACAGAATCAAGCTTTCATGGAAATTTAACTCTGGATATTCTGGCTTGTACCTTAACATAAATAAAATCTCAGTAATTTTTTTGACCAAAAAAAAAATTGAAGACAGTTTTTTTAAAGCTATATAAATCGAATGGCTACAAATATCTTTTCATCATCACTCAAGATATTTGTCATCTGATMTAAATTATATAGAAGATAAGTCATCTTTGATAGTCATACCAAATATTAGAACATTTMTTCATTGTAAATGTTACTTTGCTTGATGAAAACGTAATTACATTGAAGACAGTCTTCAAAATCATCTCATTTCTATTCTCAACATTATTGTTTCAGTGTCTGTATTATCTTTCTTTTTCTAAATTCATAGAATACACTTCTTCTCATGCATTACCATGCCAGTCCTAAGATTTCATTTTCCTTAGGTGTTTTGAAATAAAACTAATACAAATTTTGACATTATAAGTACACTTTCAAAATACTCTCCTTCTGATTTATATAACTGTTCCTGACACTAATATGCAGTTATATGTCATTAGTTACTTAAGTGTTTTCTATAATTATGTAAATCATGTTGACACTTTCTGGTAGGATGCTTACATTTTACTATTTTGTCATTTGCAAAGTTCTGAAGTATATCGGATAACCATTTTCAATCATTTTCAAATTAAACAGCTGTGAAAGGGTTCTTGCTGTCTCCTTGCTTTCTCTGCCTATAATGCCGAGCCCGCTGTTGACACAGGAGACGTCTATGCACATATCCCTTCTCTACTTCTCTCCCTATAGAATTTTGCTTTATAATTTTAATGATGACCATGTTATGGTCATTGACTTTCTGGAACTCACAGTCAGAGAGAGGGAAATACCATCAAGTACAGGTCCATGGATTATAACAAAAGAATATGGAAACAAGTGTAATAATAAAGTACGGATATTTGCATGGCAGAGGTGAAAGTGACTAGCCATTCAGATGGGCCAAGGAAAGCTCCACAAAGGAAGCGATCTTTAGTTTGAGTCTTGATGTTTCAGCAGGAGTTTGGTGAGCAAGAACAGGGGAGAAAACCCTCCTGGCCAGATGYACAGATAGAGGCATGGTCAGGAAAAAGGAGGAGCTGAGGATGCCTTGGATGCAGGATGCAGGAACCTTTGCATTAGCCAAGGACACTAGAGAACTGGGGTACACTTCTAAAGGCTCTGAAAGTCATTCCAGGGCTGAAAAGTCAGCAAACACAGCTRTCTTTACTATAAAAGAACTGGCAGGATCAAATTTTTCAGAACATAATGACATGATGTGGACAACAAACAGATGCCATCCTCTCAGCTGTGAGCAGCCTGGGAAGATAAATTCCTTCCAATCCATGGAAAGGAAAACAATCTCCTTCTATCCCAGTTACACTTAGTTCACATAGAAATGGATTCCGTTGTTGCTGGGTGGCCCATGAGGGTATGAAAAACACAAATACAGTGTTCTGCCCAATGTTTCAAGATATTTGAAGAAATCGTTGGGATAAAAATCACAACATTGTGACAAATGTTCCCATTTAATAATACAGAGCCCCAAGGAGGGCTGAGGTCTACCACACCTCTGCCACGTTGACACACAGTGACATGGTCCTGCCAAACATTGCCACATTAATGTGTGGGTACCTATTCCACTACCCTTCAACCACGTCACAATGTGAACATTCTGTATATCCCTGAAAAATCTACAAATGGGGCTGGGCTTCTGCAAACCTCTGCCACAACTGTGTTTTAGGGTAGACGTGGTCCACCTTTCTGAACCACACCAAGTACTGAGCTCTGAGGAAGTAGGTATTCTTAGCTCCGCTCGCTAGTGCCTGGGTTATAGAAATTGTCAAAAAGGTGGCTGTAACAAGGGGAGAAGGTATCTAACTCGAATTTTACTTAGGGTCATAATGGCAAAGGATGCTGATGATGGAATAATAAGAGAGAAAAGTTTAAAAATGGGAAATAATAACAGAATCAATAAAATAATAATAATAATAATAATAATAATAATAATAAGAAGAAGAAGAAGAAGAAGAAGAAGAAGAAGAAGAAGAAGAAAAAGAAGAATTAATGTATAAAAATAGTGGCTTGGAAAAGAGAAATATATGAAACCCTAAAAACAGGGAGAAGGAAATACAGGAGAGTATTGTTAAAATAAGACAAATCAGATAAAGAGATATCATGAAATGGTAAACATAATGAATGACAGATCTATACATACACACATGTGTATATGAATACGCATACATACATATATGTATATCTATCTATATGCATACATATATATATTCACTCAAGAAGCCATTTGTCTTCCCTATATGCTTTTGAGTATTCTTGATGAACAGAGCTTTGAATAGGTACTTTGAGCCCCAAAGTATCCTTTCTGCAGTGATTTGCTGAAGTGTTTAGGGTTTTATCTGGGGCAACCCRATGCATGCGATAAAACATTACCTATTGGTCTAAAGCACATCTATCTATAACTTCATTTTGCCAATGAGAGGGAGAAGTCATTTTCTAAATCTCAAGGAAACTAAGAGTAGGAAATTTGTTGTGATAGTCTCCAAAATTGTTTTGGCCATGAACTTTTCCATACACTCCATAAAGGCATCTCTGATGGCTRGTCTTAGACCATCCTAATTATCATGGTTTCTGGGAACAGATCTTCCATGGAAACTGAGATGCTTCAGGCAGATCTGGAGGGTCAGATGCATTTAGAACATGTTGTACATCATCATACAGAAAAGATGGAGACCAGCAGATAGATCCCTTCTTTTCTCAACTGTATGGGCCTGCAGGGAGGCCTACAATTGGTACGGGGCAACCCATTCATCGACATCACACAGGGGCAATCATCAAGTTAAATAGCAGTTATTTCCCTGCAAGACACAATGTGAACAACCCTCCAGCTCAGCCCTAGGAACACACAAGTGTGTGGAAGAACAAAGGGAGAGCCCACAGCCAAATACCACTGGGAAGAAAATGAGGCCATAATGCTCTAGTCCCCTCAGTGTGGGTACACAGGGGCGGCCCTCTAATAACACATCAAATAGGCAGCCCTGAGCTGGTGGGCCACCCAACTGCATCCAAAAGAGGTACCATGTATTCAAAAAACCACTAACATACCAAGCCCCTTATTTGCAGCCCAGGGTGTACTTGTGACAACCTTTTACAAATCGGGAGGTACACATGAAGTAATATTATTTCAGTAGGGAAACTGATTTCTGCTCCTGTGTCACAATTTAAGAAAACAAAAGAACGAYTGATTCTAAAGATTTAGAAAATTAACAGGTACATGAGAACAGGATAGAAGGAAAGACGGAAGGTTTCAAATGGGCCTCTTACCTTTTTGTCACTCAGGCCAGAAACCTGGTCCACATATTCCTCTTGGATCATGAAGGCAGCTAAGTTGGCAGTGTAGCTGGCCAGGAAAATGACAGCAAAGAAGGCCCACACTGACACCATGATCTTGGAGGTGGTCCCCTTCGGGTTTTGCACAGGTACAGAGTTGTTGAACACTAGACCCCAGAGTAACCAAATAGCTTTGCCGATGGTGAAAGATGGGCCGCCTGGCTCTGGCAGAACAAAACAATGCAGACACAAAGTTAAGCCAGAATCACTAGTTGTATTTCAACCTACAAGTACACAGAGCTGGAAAGTCTCTGCTAAGAGCAGGGTAGCCCCTCCCTTAAGACTGAACCTTTATAATTTGAGAGTCTGTTTCTCTCTTTTTTGGGGAGCCCCAGGAGGGCAGAAGAGGGTCCTTAAGAGAAAAACCAGGGTTCTAGGGTGTGTGGTGGATCTTTCTCCAACTGTGTTCCTGCCTTCATACCCAAGACCATCAGAATTATGTGGAAACTGAGTAACAAAGGCTAACTGTGCCACTATGGTCACATTTGGGTCAATTGTGATCATTTTTTCCTAACTTGTAGATTTGTATCTACCAAGGAAGCATTTTAACTTCCCAAACATTAGCAATAATTATATGAGGTCTTTTTTCTAACCATTGTCATAAGCCTCCTCTGAGTCTATGCACATTCATATTGGATGGTTTTGAATGGACTTTTTGCTGATTATCCTTCAACCTCTAGCAGTTAGCATTCAATATTTCAAAGACAGWCTTGACCCTACTCCAATGTCAACACTTCCCAGCCAATTTCCTATAGTAGTAGCTTCTGTGTACAAGAACATTAGGAAGGAAGTCATCAACTTCCGCCTGGCCACCTGCATCGGAAGGCAGATAGCTGTCTTTGACTTCCCTCCACCTGCTCTTTTCACAGATAGTACCAGGGTATCTGTCCATGGATGTATGGTGGCTTCTATGCTAGCTCTGCTTAATGAGGGTAAAATCTTGCCTGTTATCTGGATCTCCATGCAGRCAACGTGGCTCTTTCCACTGCAGAAACCAACATCTGCCTGCACAATTTTATGACATATTAACACAGGTCTTACGATGTTTTCTGTGTTCCTGATGGCATCTGCTCAGCCAACTGCATCATCAGGGACTACACATGTTAAATCTGATATCTAACAGTGCATGCACATCTGTGCATGTGGACCCTATTTATTGAAACAGATATGTAACTGGAAAGTCATTTATAACCAAAGTTTTTAAATTGTAAAATGCTCTTGATATTTAAAGTGGCACTGTACTGAATTCCTTTGTGAAGACAAACAGCTTATTATAAAGTGAGTCATTGTAAGTTCTTGCTCTGAGTATAGTAAATCTGGATTTTTACCTTCTGTTTCCTCCCCACCTAAGAATGAGAGTGCACATGAACTTTAGTTATTGACATTGTCAACCTAACTACATACTCGTGTGATTCTCAGACGTTTTCTTTATCAGGCTGGGCAGATCATGGCTTCTGAATGGCCCTTTAGCACAAGTGGGTCACCACTGATTGTACCACTGTGTGAAGACATGGAGATTTCCACCCCAGAATACATAAACCAACTCAAAAGGTAGGTTTACACTTGAAAATATGTCAGTGAAGTGCTGATTCACATCCTGGACTGTGAATTCAACAGAAGCATAATGGAAACTTTTATAAAACATGTTTGCCTGAAATCCACCCCCAGTGATTCTTATTAAATTGGTATAGGTTGGGTATTATATTTTTTAAAATTTAATTTATTTTTTTAATTTGTTCTAGTTAGTTATACATAACAGTAGGATGCATTGTGGCACATTGTACACAAAGGGAGCACAACTTCTCCTTCCTCTGGCTGAACATGGTACAGAGTCCAAAGCAGAGATCCACTATTTTGAAACAGAATGGTTGAAGCTCCATCCTAGACTGAGTGGATCAGAAAGTGAGGTCCAAACATCTTTGTCTTTTAAGTGCCCCATAGGGAATCCTTCTTAAGAAACTTTCCTCTTAGAGTATAAAATTCCAGGTTAGCAGACACATTCTAGAAGGATAAAACTCAGAGAAGATAGACTATTTCTTAATCCTGGGGTTCTCAGGAAGCTTCAGAAGAGCTATTTACAGGAATCCCCTTTCCTCCTTTGGAAATCTAGCAAACTTTGAAAAAGTGTATGTGCTTCAAACATCTGGGTAGCCCTCTCATCTGTGGAACTACCTACCCAGGAAATTGCCCCCGGCCCCCGACCACTGTAGCTATGGGTGAGAATTGGTCTACTCTGCCCATAACATTCCACACATCCAACTCCTATGCTYGATGGCAAGGGATGTTGATCTAGGACCATATGCTTGAGAGAGATTGTACCTCAGTAGTGATCCTTTGGCTCTGAGKAACTCTGCCAGTCACAACCACCTGCATTTACCTTGGGGCAACCTATTTTTCCTGTCCTTAATAAGTGTGTATAATCTGTCTTGTTAGTTACATCTGCTCCAACAGACTGTCCACAGCCTAAAGTCATCAAAAGCTTCCCGTTTCACTCTCAGAGTACCCACCTCTACTATCACTCTTCCCTTTCATTTACCTAGGGGTAGAACTGGGCTTAGAAATGATGTGAACCATAAGGGGGACACAGAAATTCAAACTAGCATCTTATTTGGCRTATTTCTAAAGTGTCACCAGCTTGGTGATCTAGAAGACTGAGGGACTTTTTTTTTTTCCCCAGAAATGGAAAAACTAGGAAGAATATGGATCAGGGAAGAATCAGGAGTAAGGAGAATTGGAATTACAAACTAGAAGAACAAAGAAAAGTACTGGTTCCAGCTGGCCTTACCTCTGCCATCAGCGAGGCACCTGTTATAACCCACAGGGCTGAAGTATTCAAAGACAAAAACGGCCACGGCTGAGACGATGAGCAGCATCACAAACATCATAACCCATACGTCAGCACTGAATGGCTCTGGGAAGGGAAAGAAAACAGTGCTCAAGGTCAAAACAGAACAAACGGAGGCTAATTATTTCACTTGGTCATGCAAACAAATATTTGGGGAGAACAAGAAGCAAGTGTGCTGTATGCCTTCGTGATCCAGGAACTGGTTTAGGGAGAAATAAAACATGCCTGGACAGATCTACCCCCCAGATCAGCATGTCAAGATTGCTTTCTTCCAAGCACAGGAGGAACACAGCCTCAAGCTCTTGGACCATCTAATGTTTGTAGAGATAGTTTCTGCTACTATTGGATCCATATCTGTGTCTTTCAGTAAAAGGTATAATTGGAAGGAGTRTGGTATATGCTATATGCTACAAGTGAATCATATTGGACTGGCTTGGTTTACGTTTTCATCTATGTGTCCATACCACAAAGGGGAGGCCCGCCAAATCCTTCCCCAGTGCTTCTGAGACTTGCAGCCAAATTAATTCTCCACAGACTTAGCTACTATTTCAGAGTTGAATTAATTCAGTAATAATTATGTACAATAATAACCATCCTCTCTACCCCATTGTATCACTCCTCTTAAATTTTCCTTCTAGATTTAATTTTTCAACCCATTTTGATGTGTTTTTTTTTCTATTTATTTGTGCTACTGAATATTGAATCCAGGTTCACCCTATCACTGTGGCCACTGCCCCAGCACTTTTTCATTTTTTGTTTTGAGAAAGGGTTGGCTTTGAACTTGCAATCCTCCTGCCTCAGTCTCCCAAGTCAYRGGGATTATAGGTATGTGTCACCAAAATTTTGGGATAYACTGGCCAGCTGATACATTTTATTTGACATTTTATTTGTTAACATTGACTTATATCCACATTAATATCAGTATCTGCAACAGAAGGAATTTAATAGTTGACATGTTGTTGAATAAGTTGTGATTCACAATCACAATCTATCTCCTATTATCAGGTGACAGTGTTGGGACAAGACCAGGCATGTTGTACACAGTTTTCTTTACTATCTTTAATCATTTTTGTTGAACCCCTTCCAGGTGAGCTAACTCTCTCTGGCTTAGAGGTGTCCAGGCACTAAATGCTCTGTTGCAGAAGCCATCTCTTGGAAGACCGAGACAAAGGGACAATTGCTATTCTTTCCCATGATGCAATATTTTCTCAAATGTGTCTCAAAATAGTTCTGGCCTTTTTAACTGTCACATCACATTGTAAACTCATAACTAAGTGAATTAACATTCTGTTTTCCTCATCTTCCAAATTATTAATAAAGATAAAGTTGAGAAAGGGGAAAAATGGCTGAAAATTTGAAAGTACCTTTCTTCCTCTGAAACCTATTTACTATTGTACTTCCAAAAAGAATTATAAAAGCTTGGTCACTTAATCAATTTAAAAACAACCTTGATAAAGCCCCAGAGCTTGACATACCCACTGTGAAATACAAAACCTTTCTATGGCAGTCAGACTTACGCACAGAAAGTAAAATTTAAAGCCTCTATATGATAGTGTATAGACTCTAATCCCACCTTGATTTCACTATTTATAAGATTGGGTAATAACTGAGTAAAAGAATCACCTCTGTGATTCTGCGATCTCCCCACTCCCGCTGCCCCGCCACCATTAAGCCCAGGGCAAATTTATATCCAGAAAATACAACAAACACCTATATTAACCTTTATAATTTACAAAGCACTTTCACCATTTACTATCATGCATGATTCTTTTAGTGACCATTTCATTTGGGATTACCTTATCCATTTTACAGAAGAGTAAACCAAGAATGAGAGATAGAAGCCCTTTCCAAGTTCTTACAAAGAAAGTGGCAGTTAGGTTATGAATTGGGGTTCTCAAGACAGAAAGTCTGTGTTCTTTCTACTGTATGATTTTGCATCTTTACCTGCCTACYACACTGCTTCCTGGGTTAGGGGTGGAATTCTGAGATGATCAAATGTGGATTAGAACACAGGCTCTGAGGGCTACATACTTGGACATAATCCTAGATCTGTCAGTTTTGGACTGAGAAACTTATGGAAAATTACTTAACCCTGTCTCAGATTCCATTTCCTAAGCCATAACATGGGTATAATTATAGTATCAATGAGTTATTATAACCAAACATGCATGATAAATACCTGGCACATCACATATTAGGTGTTGAATAAATTTTGGTTTCTCTTACCTTGCAACTAACTCTTTCTCATCCCAAAACACACAATATCACACTTTGCTTAACATTTTTGTCTTTCCAGGGCTATTTGGCTCTTCCAGTTCAGAAACTGTGGTTAGTGCTCTACTGGTGGGGTTAGAATTAGAGTGTACTTTGTTTTTATCTTTTAATGTTCCAATCTCCTCAAATTGGAAAAATGCAAATAAATTGTATCCAGAAGCCATGAGAATTAATGCATATGCTGTGTATTATCTAATAACATTTCACATAAAACCAGCAGAGTCAGAATTTGCTCCACTACAAATAAGAAGATTAGCTAAGAAACTTCAATGATTTATATAAAATCTATGGAACCTATAATTCTACTTAGTGTTACATTAATTGAGTTAATTCTTTTTGGATAGAGCTTAAAGAAATGACAGTCACTGTCTATTCAATTATCCTCCTTTTAAATATGTTCACATCTCTTGGAGTGATTGTGACTTGACCAAGGGCTTACAACTTGTTTAGGACCAAACCAGGCTCCTGTCTTCTAGTCCAATGTTCTGTTTCAAGGTGACATTTAACTTCCCACCCCCTCGATCCACAGCCCCTGCAAAAATTATGGGATATGAGCTCACCAAGGACCTCATATAATTGAAAACTTGGCCTTATCTCACCTAGTCTTATATCACATCTAAGGCTTTTGACAGTTAAGTGCTGCTGGAGGGTGGGGAAGTAGAGAATGATAAGGGGAAGGCTGGGTTGGGGTGGGAGGAAGCATCAGATCAGTTCTGGCTGAAAAAAGCCTCAGAAAATTCATGTGACAACAGAAAACCTTTTTTTGGTAGCACTGAGCTCAATTCTTGAAGATAATTAAAAATAAATAGGTATTTCAATGATATCCAGAATTAGAAATTTTTAGAGCAGGAAGCAGCCTCAGAGAGAGGCTAGCTGAAGTGCCTTCTATGGCGAAGGAAACTGAGTCCCAGGAGGGAGCAAATTTGCTCAAGGTCAGATGGTGACTACATGATAAGAAAAGGACTCCTATGGAGGCCTCTGATGACCAATGCAGGAGCGTTTTCTTACGAAGCAGCGTTAGTTATGCCTTTCTATTATTCTGGGTGTTCTTCAGCTTTCAGGTTTGAGAATCATCAGTTTTGATGTCCTCAAAATGAAGTCCCCAGATGAGTTAAGCTATTAGGAAACCAACTCCCGACTGAAAGAACCTGGCCATGTGCTCCTCCAACTATTCCTTATTCCAATTCCCTGTCACCAGCAAACACATCATTTACCTAAGAAGGCAGAAGGTGAGACAGTCCCATTGCTGCGTGACACCATGACACTGATGCCAGTCTCTATGAAGGGTACAGAGAAGTCAACCACCTCTGAGCGCTCCTCATTGATGGTGAGCGATCCCACTGCCATGTAGGCCCTCTTCATGACCACCTGAGGAGAAAGACACCAAGTTCTGGTTAGAGTACCCAGGAAGGCAAGGGCCACCATGAGGAAAATACTCACGGCCCATCAGTGATGTGCTTCGTACAGTGGGAACAGTGCATTCTCTTTACCACTTCATATTTTACAAAATTCATAAAATAAGCCCTTCTATGTGTAATAAGAATTGTAATGCATTCCATTGTCRTGTATTTAAAAAATAAAATCAATTTMTTTTTTTCTTTTTTTTTATTGGTTGTTCACAACATTACAAAGCTCTTGACATATCATATTTCATACATTAGATTGAAGTGGGTTATGAACTCCCAATTTTACCCCAAATGCAGATTGCAGAATCACGTCGGTTACTTAAAAAAAGTATTTCCATGAAATAAAATAAATGGAAAATGGAATTGGCCCTTACTTTCGGACACTCACCTCTCCAATCATACCATTCCAGGTGCCGTTGATTTTCTTCCCATGCTTGCCATTGGTGACCAGGTAAAGGTCATAGGTGAACTTCACAGATTTAGAAATTTTCTTAAGGATGTCGATACAGAACCCCTTGCAGCATTTTTTGATGTATCCTGGCTCCTCATCTGTTTTATTCCTAGCCAGTTAAAGAAACGAAAAACAAAAGCAAGGTTTTGTACAAGGAGCACAGTATTATTCTTTGTCATTAAAACTCCAATTCTAAAGCAGGTCACCCTTCACAGCACAATTTATATCAAACCTGAGTGAGGAAATAAACCAGATCCCAGAACTGCAATATTCTCATTATCTCATTACATTGGGCCATGCTTTCTCACAAATTTTAATGTTCCTTTGAAGTACAATACACATCAGGAAAGAGTACATATCCTTAGGGCTCAGTTCTGTGAATTTTCATACACCAAATTCACCCTTTCAGCCAGCTCCTGAATCCAGGTACAGAAAAGTTACCACTAAAAGGCTTCTTTTTCTCCCTTCCAGGCACTTCCTACCCTCACCAAAGAAAACCATTATCCTGACTCGTAACAACATAGATTAGTTTGACCTATTTTTCAGAAATGGTTCTAAATATCAAAATTTGGGGATATACTGGCCCAAGAAAATATAGTTCAATACCAAGAATACACCTAAATCTCTATAACCTTGAGATCCCAGGCACTGAGGTCAGGAAAGGCCAAAGAACCTTAACATGCCTAGCAGTCATTCTCTCAGGTTATGATTTGGACAGAGCCAGACATCAGACCACAGGGCTGCCAGCAATTCAACAGCTCATTAGCAGCTGAAAATTGGACATGGTGCCCAATTCATTCCTTGCTGCAGGTCCCAGGCCTGCCAGGTGCTAAGAACTGCAAAAAATTTGACTCTCTCATGCTACCCACAGCCACTGGGGGGAAGGTGCCATACTCAGAGATTATGCGTTTTTGGCAGGGGACTGTGTTCCTCATGCAGGTTCCACTTAGAGGGTCCACGCTTTCCACAATGACAAATGGAGCCTCCTCCAGGGTCACAATGCTTAGGTGGTCATCCTCTTGCTCTTCGGTCTCGGGACACATTCGGGGCCACACATAGTATTTCATCTGCAGGGACTTGTCTTTCCACTTCCCCACCTGCACATGGATAAAGAAAAGACTCAGAAACCACTGGCCATGACATCTACAGTTTCCCGCAGCACTGTCTGAATCTTCCCAGGAAGCTATTCAATGAAGGCAAACAGATTTAAGCATTGTATGTAATGGAGAGAATCCCTTTTAAACCATATGTTCAAAAGGAGACTACTGTGTCCCAAACCAAGAAAGGCAATACATTCATTGACTCACCCACTTACCAAACAYTAAATAAGGACCCACTATGTGGTGGATACCCTGCTAAGCCCCATAACTCAAAACAGCATCATTCTGTCCTTTATCAAGCTCATATTGAATGAAGGAGTAAGAAATGTAAACAACTGTTTACAACACTGTATGGTGAATAATAAAACTGAAGCCTGTACCAAGTGCAGGGAGCATGCCAATTTTCTGGATTGTGTGGCTGTCAGTTTTTTTTTCTTTAAACTTAACCATAATAAAGAACATGATAGTGAGAGCAGAAAAGAGTGTTGGAAAGGTCAACAGAATGATTGTAGCAAATGAGCTGGCAGAATGTGTTTTGGTTTGTAATGGAGGTCTAGTGACGAACTGTGCAGAAAACTAGATAAATCTGAACTGGAATAAAATGATAAGTTGGGATGAAAGAATATAGACACAGCTCACTTGAAGAAGGGAATATGGTTGGGCTGGTGATAATCTCATGGGTCAATGCAGAAATGCATTGGTATGAATCACATGGGTCTCTCTGTGAGCTGCCGCATATGGCCACACAGGCTATATGCTGTATAACCAGGAGTACCATTCTTGTGACTCTAAAGTGAAGGGTGGATGTCCCCCAAATCATGCACATGGTGATCCTGCTGCTAGTCATAATTAAATGAATGGTTCAGTTTTGAGAGCCATTCATTCCTATTGTACAATAGAATCTACATGACTTTGTTGTACGTTCTTGTTCTCGCTGTACCATTGAGTTTAATGGAGAACGAGGGAACACTTTTAAATTTTTTCTATAACTAGCATCTTCAATTATCATAAGAATTAGGAATCACAAGTCCCTTCATTTTTCCAACCTATGATTTCCTCTGTGCAGAATGCAAAAAAAAAAAAAAAAAGGTGAGGTACCAGAATTACAAACTACTTAGTTTATTTAACTACAGAAATCAATAAGAAGCAACGAATTGACAGCACTTCATAAATTTTCAAGCGAATAGGCATGGATTTCTCTATAAATGCAAAACTCCAACTCCTTCTTTTGTTTCTGCTTTTGTCTGCACTTAGGTTTCTACCTGACACCTTCTCAGGTGTGGTTAGCTCCTCTCTCCAGTTTGTCCCATGGCATGATGACTTCCATATTCAAATTAGGCCTGAGTAGCCACTACCTTGTTTTATTGCATTGTTACAACACGGACAGTGATTGAGTGTCCTGGGTTGCCCTGTTTGGCACCTGCATAGTTTTTCTCTGGCATTAACCCTGGTATGGATTGGTTTTCATCCAACTGTGCAAATGAAATTTTGCTTCTTTGTTCAGAATTATGCACTGAACCAAATGTTTGGCTTTTCTTTATATATACAGCTGCAACTTACCCTACAATGGGGTTACGTTTCATTAAGCTCATCATTAAATTGAAAATATCATAAGTTGAGAATGCATTTAATACCCCCTAACCTACAGATTATCAGAGCTTAGCAGTACAGCAGGCTGCAGTGAGGTCAGTTCTCCTTGTGATTCTTGTGGCTGCCTGGGAGTTGCAGGTCCCTGCCACTACCCAGTTTCATGAAAGTATTGTACACATATTGCTAGCCCTGAAAGAGATCCTAAATGGTTTCCATTGAATGTACTCTGCTTTTATACCATCATAAAGTCGAAAATCCATAAGTCAAGCCAACAGAAATGGTAAGGTAGGGATTCCCTGTGTAGTCTTCTTTGTAGTGTTGATCTTGCTTCATTCCCTGTTTTTCCTTCTATTGCTAAGACTACTTATTTCTAAAGAAGAAATTTCCAAATGGCTTCTGAGACACATGCAGATATTAATGCCCTCTTCCAGTGGAGCTTGGCAGAGAGGAGACGCACCCTGGGATCCAAGATGTTGGTTCACCTCCATTCCCAAGAAACCATATCTGCCCCTGTGGCCAAACCAGTAATATATTCTGCATGTTCAACAATGTAAAAAAACCTTGGCAAGCCCTAAACTAGTATTTTATTTTATTTTTAATTCTCCTCACATTGGCTTACCAGTAACTTTTGATATTTTTTTCCCCTTTTAAATCCAAATTTATTTTTCTGCCTTTATTGTTACCAGCCTAGCCCAGAGTAAGTGGTCTAGCATCCCATTCTGGAATTATCTGAGGAAGATGCCAAATTACACAAGGTTCCCCCAGAGTCCATCGTGATTTGCTGCCAGATGACTTTCTGAAAACACAACTTTGTCATTGTACAGTTTATATTCAAACTTTTCAATGATCTCTCACTGCTCCCAGCTGTGCAGCCATTTCACCTGGATGATCCAGGTCTGTGCATTGGGCCTTATCTACCTGGATATCACTATTTTAATTCATGAATCTTTTGTTCAACTCAGATGTTGTTGGTATTACAAACTCACACAGGTTAGTCAAGAACACACTGCAACATTCTAGCTGCCGTTTATTTTCTAATAGACTATCTACAGAGAAAAGATTTTGCAAACAGCATTTTGGGAAAGTTTCTCCTGTCATTCTTGTGAACAAGATGAACTACAACATGGACTATTGAATACTTTCATAGGTTGGAAAAGAGTTTCAAAATCTACATCCAAAAAGAAAAGAAAAGATTGTTTAATGAACCAAGGCCAACACGAAAAGAGGTCTTTAGTGACAACGTAAGGAGATACCATTCTTAGAAGTGGCCTGTTAGTGTTTCGTAAGACAAAATAGAAGTCATGCTCACAAAATTGCAGACAACACAAAGTTAGAGGGGATATAAAATATAATGCATTGCTGGAGCAAGTTTGGGAGAGATACTAATTAACTAGAATAATGGACTGAACCAAATGGAATAAAATTTGTCAGTATTTGTGCTTAAAGAATAGCATTTAGATTTTTAAAAACACAATTGCACAGTCCTGACAAGGAGATATTTCAATCAACAACAGCCTATAAAAGCTATTACAATAACCAAATGGTGTATTTATAGACAGAGTTTAGTGCATGGGGTGAAGGGAGGGCACAGGTGATTCTACCCTACTCTGTTTTCATCATATCACAGCAGGAAAACTAGGTTCTCRTCCCATAATTCTGTGATCTACAGATGCTTATTAAATACACCATTCTCATTTCCTCAACAATAACTGTTCACACAGTTCTCTTCTAGTGCATTCTTTCCCAACTTACTACCAAGTTAGCTGGATCATATCTTTGTCTCATATCCATTCAGCCCAATCAGCAATGATTGCACACCAACACTGTGCTGGGCACTGGGCTGAGTGCTAGAGATAACAATACCAGGTAACATTTAGTGAGCACTTAGATGTGCTAGGCACTGAACTTGTCCAGTGATCTCATTAATCACCATACGTCTGAGACAGAATCCCAATTAATGTCTCATTTCTACAGAGGGTTTTGTCAGCTTTCCCGAGATCTCAAGATAAGTGGGTACTGAGCACCACAATGTCAGAATTTGAAACTGAGAGCCTGACTCCAGAGCTTGGGCAACACCTACTTTGCTGCCCTGCTTCTCTGACAATGAAGGAGGAAGATGTGGCCATATCCTTCCAGCACAGACTAGATGGGAAAGACACTGTCTATTGACAACAATATCAAGTTAGGCTTAAGGTAATCACCCTCATATAAGGAACAGACCAGGACTTTGGCATTCAGAGTAGAAGTCATCACTACTGAAAAGATGAGGGAAAAGCCTCACAGAGACCCTTATCTTTGGGCTGGGCCTTGAAATTTCAGTGGTAACTCCTTAGGGGAAGTTCTTTATCCACTGCATTAGCTTGGTTCTCCTTCTCCTTAAAGACTGCTCACTCAAGTCAGATAATCTTTAACAGTCTTGGCAGCCAACTGGATTGTGCTCAACCCTCCCCAAGTCCTTGTTCAATGGTGTTGGGTTGGTAGCTTGGAAGTGCTCAGCACCATAAAATTGGCAAACAATAGAGGTCCATCAGGGCTTCCTCTGTCCAATTCACTTCCAGTTGTTAAGCTTTTATCAGCTGGCCACTACCCAGAACAGCCAAACCACCTTCTATAATGATTTTTTWAAAAATTTCTAGGTGACTTGTTTTCTAAATGAAATTCTAAATGTGTCTCTAAGTATTCCAAAGGTGGTGGATAAATTTCTAAGTCCCTTATTCTCAGTTTATACATGTGTAAAAATGGGTGGGTGGGTTTCTCCAGTGCTTTCCACATAATTTCCTAACATCATGATCCCTTCAGGACAGGGGCTCGTGATAGCCCTTCTACAGATGAGACCCCAGGGAAGAAGGTCTCCTATGGTCACTTCCTTAAGAAAGGAAAAGATTCATTTGTCTTAGGCCATGATTCTTTTTTTCCTCAAGGATGATTTCCATGAGAGGGTACGTTAACAAATTCATGGAAAACTGAAAGGAGAAACTTTCGGGGGAAAAAATAAAATCTACTATGAATAGTAGATGAATAGATAGATTCATGGTACCAATACACAGGACTCATCTTAGTGGAAATATTGAGATATTTACCTCCGATTCTGTCTACCCCCCAACGCCCGCCACTTTTTTTTCCTTTTCCTTTTTTTCTTTCTTTCTTTTTTTAAATTTACTTTATTTTGTGGTGCTGGGGATCAAAACCAGAACCTTGTGCATTTTAGGYAAGCTTCTCCTCAGATTCAACATAGAGCAAGGCAGATTATAATTGATAAATGATTGAAATTAGATTTTAAAAGGGACATATTTATGTAGAAAAACGAGATGTTTCAAGCAATTTTTTCTTCAAGGAGGAGGAAATATGGTGAAAATATTATAAATGGAAAAGTTTGGAAGAGCAATGAACAATAGTAAATAAAAAAA